CTCTGGCATTCCTACACACTAATGATGAAAAATCTGAAAGTGAAATCAAGAAAACACTCCCATTTACCATTGCAACAAAAAGAATAAAATATCTAGGAATATACCTACCTAAGGAGACAAAAGACCTGTATGCAGAAAATTATAAGACACTGATGAAAGAAATTAAAGATGATACAAATAGATGGAGAGACATATCATGTCCTTGAATTGGAAGAATCAACATTGTGAAAATGACTCTACTACCCAAAGTAATCTACAGATTCAATGCAATCCCTATCAAACTACCACTGGCATTTTTCACAGAACTAGAACAAAAAATTTCACAATTTGTATGGAAACACAAAAGACCCCGAATAGCCAAAGCAATCCTGAGAACGAAAAACGGAGCTGGAGGAATCAGGCTCCCTGACTTCAGACTATACTGCAAAGCTAAAGTAATCAAGACACTATGGTACTGGCACAAAAACAGAAATATAGATCAATGGAACAGGACAGAAAGCCCAGAGATAAACCCACGCACATATGGTCACCTTATCTTTTATAAAGGAGGTAAGAATATAAAATGGAGAAAAGACAGCCTCTTCAATAAGTGGTGCTGGGAAAACTGGACAGATACAAATAAAAGTATGAGATTAGAACACTCCCTAACACCATACACAAAAATAAGCTCAAAATGGATTAAAGACCTAAATGTAAGGCCAGAAACTATCAAACTCTTAGAGGAAAACATAGGCAGAACACTCTATGACATCAATCACAGCAAGATCCTTTTTGACCCACCTTCTAGAGAAATGGAAATAAAAACAAAAATAAACAAATGGGACCTAATGAAACTTCAAAGCTTTTGCACAGCAAAGGAAACCATAAACAAGACCAAAAGACAACCCTCACAATGGGAGAAAATATTTGCAAATGAAGCAACTGACAAAGGATTCATCTCCAAAATTTACAACCAGCTCATGCAGCTAAGTAACAAAAAAGCAAACAACCCTATCCAAAAATGGGCAGAAGACCTAAATAGACACTTCTCCAAAGACGATATACATATTGCCAACAAACACATGAAAGAATGCTCAACATCATTAATCATTAGAGAAATGCAAATCAAAACTACAATGAGATATCATCTCACACCGGTCAGAATGGCCATCATCAAAAAATCTAGAAACAATACATGCTGGAGAGGGTGTGGAGAAAAGGGAACCCTCTTGCACTGTTGATGGGAATGTAAATTGATACAGCCACTGTGGAGAACAGTATGGAGGTTCCTTAAAAAACTAAAAATAGAACTACCATATGACCCAGCAATCCTACTACTGGGCATATACCCTGAGAAAACCATAATTCAAAAAGAGTCATGTACCAATATGTTCATTGCAGCTCTATTTACAATACCCAGGACATGGAAGCAACCTAAGTATCCATTAACAGATGGATGGATAAAGAAGATGTGGCACATATACACAATGGAATATTACTGAGCCGTAAAAAGAAATGAAATTGAGTTATTTGTAGTGACGTGGATGGACCTAGATTCTGTCATACAGAGTGAAGTAAGTCAGAAAGAGAAAAACAAATACCGTATGCTAACACATATATATGGAATCTAAGGAAAAAAAAAAAGTCATGAGGAACCTAGGGGAAGACGGGAATAAAGGCACAGACCTACTAGAGAACGGACTTGAGGATATGGGGACGGGGAACGGTAAGCTGTGACAAAGTGAGAGAGTGGCATGGACATATATACACTACCAAATGTAAAATAGATAGCTAGTAAGAAGCAGCCGCATAGCACAGGGAGATCAGCTCTGTGGTTTGTGATGACCTAGAGGGGTGGGATAGGGAGGGTGGGAGGGAGGGAGACGCAAGAGGGAAGAGATATGGGATCATATGTATATGTATAAGTGATTCACTTTGTTATAAAGCAGAAACTAAGACACCATAAAGCATTATAAAATAGTATAAAGCAATTATAAAGCATAAAGGAGCATAAAGCAATTATACTCCAAAATAGATGTTAAAAAAAACCATGATAATCTCATTAGAAGTAGAAAAAGCCTTTGACAAAATTCTACATCCAATTATGATAAAAACTCTACAGAAAGTAGGCATAGAGTGAACTTACCTCAAGATAACAAAGGCTATATATGAAAAACCCACAGCAAACATCGTTCTCAATGGTGAAAAACTGAAACCATTTCCTCTACGATCAGGAACAAGACAAGGTTGCCCACTCTTTCCACTATTATTCAACATAGTTTTGGAACTTTCAGCCACAGCAACCAGAGAAGAAAAAGAAATAAAAGGAATCCAAATCAGAAAAGAAGAAGTAAAACTGTCACTGTTTGCTGATGACATGACACTATACATAGAAAATCCTAAAGATGCCACCAGAAAACTACTAGACCTAATCAATGAATTTGGGAAAGTAGCAGGATCCAAAATTAATGCACAGAAATCTTTTGCATTCCTATACACTAATGAAGAAAAATCTGAAAGTAAAATTAAGAACACACTCCCATTTACCACTGCAACAAAAAGAATAAAATATCTAGGAATAAACCTACCTAAGGAGACAAAAGACTGGTATGCAGAAAACTTTAAGACACTGATCAAAGAAATTAAAGACGATACAGATGGAGAGATATACCATGTTCTTGCATTGAAAGAATCAACATTGTGAAAATGACTATAAGACCCAAAGCAAGCTACAGCTTCAACGCAATCCCCATCAAACTACTCATAGCATTTTTCACAGAAAAAGAACAAAAAAAATTACAATTTGTATGGAAACACAGAAGACCCCGAATAGCCAAAGCAATCTTGAGAAAGAAAAACAAAGCTGGATGAATCAGGCTCCCTGACTTCAGACTATACTACAAAGCTACAGTAATCAAGACAATACGTTACTGGCATAAAAACAGAAATATAGGTCAATGGAACAGGATAGAAAGCCTAGAGATAAACCCATGCACATATGGTCACCTTATGTTTAATAACGGAGGCTAGAATATACAATGGAGAAAAGACAGCCTCTTCAATAAGTGGTGCTGGGAAAAATGGAGAGATACATGTAAAAGAATGAAATTAAAACACACCCTAACACCATACACAAAAATAAACTGAAAATGGATTAAAGAACTAAATGTAAGGCCAGAAACTATCAAACTCTTGGAGGAAAACATAGGCAGAACACTCTATGACATAAATCACAGCAAGATTCTTTTTGACCCACCTCCTAGAGAAATGGAAATGAAAACAAACAAATGGAACCTAATGAAGCTTAAAAGCTTTTGCACAGCAAAGGAAACCTTGAACAAGACGAAAAGACAACCCTCAGAATGGGAGAAAATATTTGCAAACGAAGCAACTAACAAAGGATTAATCTCCAAAATATACAAGCAGCTCATGCAGCTCAATATCAAGAAAACAAACAACCCTATCCAAAAATGGGCAGAAGACCTAAATAGACTTTTCTCCAAAGAATATATACAGATTGCCAACAAACACATAAAAGGATGGTCAATATCACTAATCATTAGAGAAATGCAAATTCAAACTACAATGAGGTATCACCTCACACCGGTCAGAATGGCCATCATCAAAAAGTCTAGAAACAATAAATGCTGGAGACGGTGTGGAGAAAAGGGAACCCTTCTGCACTGTTGCTGGGAATGTAAATTGATAAAGCCACTATGGAGAAACAGTATTGGAGGTTCCTTAAAAAACTAAAAATAGAACTACCATACGACCCCGCAATCCCACTACTGGGCATATACCCTGAGAAAACCATAATTCAAAAAGAGACATGTACCCCAATGTTCAGTGCAGCACTATTTACAATAGCGAGGACATGGAAGCAACCTAAGTGTCCATCGACAGATGAATGCATAAAGAAGATGTGGCATATATATATACAGTGGAATATTACTCAGCCAAAGAAATGAAATGAAATTGAGTTGTTTGTAGTGAGGTGGATGGACCCAGCGTCTGTCATACAGAGTGAAGTAAGTCAGAAAGAGAAAATCAAATACCGTATGGTAACACATATATATGGAGTCTCCAAAAAAAAAAAAAAGGTTCTGATGAACATAGGGGCAGGACAGGAATAAAGATGCAGACGTAGAGAATGGACTTGAGCACACGGGGAGGGGGAACTGTAAGATGGGATGAAGTGAGAGAGTTGCATTGACATATATACACTACCATATGTAAAACAGATAGCTAGTGGGAAGCAGTCGCGTAGCACAGGGAGATCAGCTCGGTGCTTTATGACCACATAGAGGTGTGGGATAGGGAGCGTGGGAGGGAGACGCAAGAGGGATAGCATATGGGAATATATATATACGTGTAGCTGATTAACTTCATTATACAGCAGAAACTAACACAACACTGTAAAGGAATTATACACCAATTAATATGTTAAAAAAAACATAAGCAGAATAAGCATCTCAATTGCAAACATGTAAATAAAACTTTAGAAAAAATAAAAATAAAGAAAATAAAAAAATAAAATATATTGGGGAATAAAATACATTAGGTTGAAATTTAAAAAAAATCTGAACAGCAAAATAAAAAAAATACGCTGGGGAATAAAATACATTACACAGAAATCAGAAATTTAAAAATTTAGTCAGACTAAATAATTTATTATCATGAAGGCTAATATAAAAACAGAAATTTCTTCTTTTCATATATTTTATATACCTGCAAACAGCAATGAGCTTATTATCACATTCATTTATTTTTGGCTGAAAGATAAATACCTTAAGATTTATATTCAGGAAAATTATATCTATTTCCATGTTCATCTATGCAAAAGATTATACTAAATTAGTACTTGAAAATTATTAAAAAGTGAGTATTTTCACTGTATATTCCAAAGAAAACAATTTTTTAAGGATTTAAATTAAATCACTGGCAACAAAAATTGATTTAAGTTATGAAGCATGAGATAACATTAAAAACATAGCTTATAATTAAGCAAAATTGTGATATACCTTTGGAGTCTTTCCATCTACATTTGGATGTATTTGTACTATTTCTTTGCCTTGCATTTGGCTGTCTTCTGTTTGGCTTTCTTTCTGGTCTCCTCTATCCTCTGTAGGACTTATTTTCTGGGATGTTTCTACAATAATTTTCCCCAAATTTTGTACGGTCTGTGCTTCAGAATCACTGATTTTGGGAAAAAGGGGGGATATAAAGCCCAAGAAGAAGAGTTGTTAAACGTACCTCTTTAAGTTCAAGACCAAATAATATTACAGCACAGTTTATATAGGTAGCTACAAGTTTAATTTGGGCATTTACTGATTCTCATTGTTAAGAGAGAAAATTACTCTAAATATATTGAGAGAAAATTGTTTAAATATATTTTACAAAATTATAAAATCTCATCAAGAAGTTACATTATCTAATATCACATGCTTGCAGCATCACTTCTATAGTATTTCTCCAAGTGTTAACTCAGGAAGCACATGTTTCAACGCTTGCAGGGTTGGAACACTCACTACTTTCTGACCCAGGGCAGAAAGCTTTAATATTTCTAAAAGAAAGTTTTCTCCTAGTCTGGAACGAAATCTGAATCTCTGAGCCTTTCATGAATTGATCTAGTTCCACCTCTTATGGGTATTCATCATTCAATATAATACTTGTTAAGCACCAACTATGTACCAGGCACTTTTCTGGGCACAAGGGTAAAGTGGTGAGTGAAAAAAAAAATAGATTAAACTCCCTGCCCTCAGGTAGCTTTCAGCCCAGTGGGGTGGGGAGACAGGTGACAAAGAAGAGGACTAAATTTTATATATGTATATATAAAACACAGTATGTTAATAGTTTGTATTAAAGAAAAAAAATAAAGGGAAGAAGATTAGAAGTGCTGGTGTTGATGCTGAGCAGAAATTTAAGTTCAATCCCTTTTCCACATGGACGATCTAACTATTTGGATATAGTTATATGATGCTTGCAACATCTCTAAGGAAAACATCCCTAGCTTGTTCAAGTACTCCTAACATGAATGCTTTTGAGATGCTTTCCCTTCCTGGTCCCTCTTGAAAAGTACACCAGCTTATTTTGATGGAGCATTATGTCCAGAATTCAATTTCATACTTCGAGTGTACAATGAGAAGTACTTAGTAGTACTCCTGGTAGATGTAGACTAAATTTGTATAAGCTTTTCCAGCATGCATATTGTACTGAGACTCTTACAGGATTTAACAAAATATACTTTTACATTCACTATTACAAAGTGCCATATCTTCCCATTGCATAGTTGAACAATTGACATTTTATAGCCAAGTAAAGGACCCTGTAGTCTTCTGGATAACTATATCTTCCCAGTCTATTGAGATCTTTGGGGATTTTGATTCTATCTTGTAAACTATTTTCCAGCCCTTTCAGTGTCACGTTATCCACAGATTTGATAAACATGTTTTACTGAAATTCTTTCTTCTTCTAGGTATTAACAACTCCTCCTGATTATTACCTATCAGTGAATGGGCATTGATAAAGATAATTCATATATCGGGACCCCACAAAATGCAGCCTGCCCCAGCAGCCCGGCCTGTGTCAGAAACTGGAACCTAAGTCAGCTGCACTAACGGGAAATGCATCACTGTCAAGGAAAGCTAACATATACCAATCAGAATCCTCCAATTCAGCTTTAGCTAGTTTGCGAACTTTAGCTAGCTACCTTACCCTAGAAAATAGGACCCGCTAGCTTTACAAGAAAATCCCTGACCTCCTAGCCAATCATGCCCTGTTTCTGCTTTGCCTCTTATAATGCTCTATAAAACTCCCTCCTGCCCCAAAACCCTTGAAAGAGTGCTCCACAGCTTGTTAGGCACTGGACTCCCCTTATCCATGCATGTTTTACCATGAATAGAGGTCTTCATGCTTGTTACTAAATCATATTATTTTTGTTCTTTGACATCATGCTCTTATAATATTATTCAACTATGGGAAATAAATATTCATAAGGTAATAATTATATAATATTCTATATACAAATAAATAAAGGGCCAAGTTCTATTTTCCTCAGTATCCAAGTAAATTTCTTATATTTCAGACTATGAAAAGTTAAAAGAAATAGAATGTCCTGAAGTCCTGAGGCTCCATTGTGGGATTTCTAATTGCTTGAGAATTCTTTGCAGCTGAGTGATTCCTGAGACCGTTCTGTCAGGCAGGAAATGTAACAATTAATCCTCACAGTGTAAAACTGAGTTTCACTGCTAATAACTTAAATGACAATCCTATGTTTTAAGAGATATAGTGTGATACATCCCCCAAAATACGTGACCTTCTGCACATGCACCAAGAAGATGAAATTGAACTGAGTGTATTCCTTAACTTTCACATATTTATTCAGACATACATACACCAGTAAATATGTACCACTATATTATGAAGAGTGTGGTAGTACCAACTGGCTGAGATATAATTAGTAGATGAAACCAGAATTTCCTGGAAGACAAAGATAAACACTTAGTGGGTTTTGTTTTTGTTTTTTTTTTTGCAGTACGCGGGCCTCTCACTGTTGTGACCTCTCCTGTTGCAGAGCACAGCCTCCGGACACGCAGGCTCAGCGGCCATGGCTCACGGGCCTAGCCGCTCCCCGGCATGTGGGACCTTCCCGGACCAGGACACGAACCCGTGTCCCCTGCATCGGCAGGCAGACTCCCAACCACTGCACCACCAGGGAAGCCCTTAGTGGGTTTTAAGCTAAGTAGGATTTTATCTCTAACTGCTTTTGAGAACAGGGAAGAAAACCTTGGAAAGCAGATTTGGTCTTTCTTCCTTACTTTCGTAAATTTGTTTTTGAGTTTCTCACCTGTCTAAAGACCAGAGGCATGACCACTGATCGTTTAAAACAGTGGTTCGCAAACTTGTCTGCATATTGGAATCAGCTGGAGAGCCTCAAAACATACTGAAGCTTGTATCTCACTCCAGAAGTTATGATTTAATTGTTCTGGGATGTGGCCTGAGCTTTGGAATTTTTATGAGATCCCCAGGTGATTCTAATATGCAAACAAGTTTGAGAATTGCATTTTAAAATGTTTCAGATCTATGTCTAAGAAAACTATCCAGAAACATCCCAAATCTAAAACAGATCATGACTGCAGATTTAAAAAAAAAAAAAAAAACTTGGGAAAATAAAAGGAAATATGCGCCATCATAAACCAAGACAGAACTATGGAAAATTGTTCCATGTGTCTGTTAACAATTCTGGCCACATTAAACTTCCGTATTATCTAGGTATAAAAAGAGGTGTTCTATTATCCACTTGCCTTTGTGGTTTTACTGATGTGCTTCAATGTATGAATGTATAGCCAGGGGTAAGGGTAAGAAATATTATAGATTTTTAGTATTCCCCTGTTGTTATTCACTAGGGGTTAGATAACTTAAAACTAGGAATCTGTAGAGCTTTAACTTTAAAGAACTAATTTTTAACCTCCTTCAATTAAAGTTAGCACAATGACTTGCATAATACATACATGAAATAATTAGTGAAGATGGTTCTTAATTTAAAGGATGTTAAACAGCTTGTAGACATCTGGTAACAAGCTGAAATGGGTCATTCAAAATTTATCTAACTAAATTAAGGGGAAAAAATGTTTCTCCTCCCAGGTTGCCATGTCACAAGATAACTAAACCGACTTAGTAGGCTTGCCTGGGAATCCTTAGCTGTCAGTGGTGAATATGCAAAGGGCCAGCAAATTAAATCAACCTGCCAAACTGTCAATTTCAAGCCTCATGACTGCATGAAAATAGCATCACTGGAAGAAATCAAGCATTGCCTTCTTTTGGGTTTCCTGGCACCTATTCAAACACTCATGCAGTTGTGGCTAATTTTGCATGCAAATTTCAGTCAATAAGCTCAGAACAAGACCTCCCAAGATATTTCAAAGGATCTGACAGTATTTTTTCTGAATACCAAATCGACAGTAGTTGAAATTCAATCTCCACTTGCTGGTGCTTTACATATGCACAGTGTCCCCACCACTGAGCTAAGTTAATGAGAGCCTTACCTGCTTTCGCACACATCCTCCCAGTCGTCCTTGCTGAGGTTCTCAAACACATTGCTCATGACCTTGATGGAGTGATTGAGAACAGTGTGGTAACGACCCACGGCACGCTTTTTCTTGGCCGCTTTAAATTTAACCTTGGTAGTGGTTGCCTTACAATCAGATTGTCTAGATCCAGATCTCACTTCCGTGGTGGCCATCTCAGATTTAGCTTTGTCTGCTGAACGCTGTAATTTCTCTACTGAATTCATCAGCTCTTCATTTTCATTTCTCAACTCATTAGCTTCTGCCACTTGTCTCCTTAGGGAAGTGACTTCTATCTCCAGCTCACTGAGTTTTACTTGAAGTTCAGCTTTGTCTTTTTCTACATCTTTACTTCCCTTTTGCAGTTGTTCCACCTCTTTTTCTCTGGTCTTTGCGTCTTCTTGCTGCTGTTTTACAAGGGATTTCAGGAAATCATTTTCTTTTATTAATTTTTTATTCCCTTCTTTTAATTTTCTTGACCTTTTCTCAAAAGATTTTAGCCGATTTTCCAATTCAATGACCTAAATAGAAAAGTTTAATTTATTCTTTTAAAAGTCCAAAACCAGAATGTACTGTATTTTTATTGTCATTTCTAACTTATGAAAATAAAATTTCATTTAGCACAAGGACAAAATAAATCTAAAGTACTTAATTTCTAAATAATTCTAAGGTGGTGTACATAAATACATTCTAAAATGCAATAATACATCTGTTGAATAAAGGACAGATGGTAAAAGAAGTTAAAATTCTACACAATGTGACACAGAACTAAGTATGCTAATAAGCTCTGCAGAGTTCTCTGAGACTGTTAAGTGCTTTGGCTTTATAGTCTACTGTTGGGAAGGAAAAAAATTTCCTTCTACCCTTCTAGGTTCTTTCTGGTCTCAGAATGAAATTGATATAAGACAGATTAACAAGAGAAAAATATAAGAATATAAAAATATAATATAAGATATATAAATATATATTATATAAATATATAATATAAGACAGATTAACAAGAGAAAAACAAAAATTTAATATCACGTATACCTCCTGTATACTTGGGAGATACCCAGGAAAACTGAGTAACTCCCCGAAATGGCCTAAGCCATCACCTTAAATACCATTTTCATCTAAAGACTATGTAAGATTTTGGTGGGTGGGAGTCAGTTATAGGAGGTTCCCAGGAAAAGCACAGTAAACAAGGGTCTGGCTGTTAAGCAGATTTAGGTCCTTGCCTTCTCCACTGATTACACTTTTAGAGATTTGGTCATCTTCATCTTCCTGGTACAGCAAGGTATACCCTCTTACAAATGGAGATTTCCCTTATAAATGTAAATGTTTCTTACAAAGGGATAACTTCTACTCAGTTTTCAGAGCTTTTCCTATGTCTGTAGTTTCTTAAAAATAATCAGCCTAAAATAATCAATATGCCAAAGAGACATATTTTGGGGTGATATATTTTGCTCCCCCTCATTTTACTACTCGTGAAAAAGAATACTTTCAGAGGAAAACAATTTATACAAAAAGTCTGAAAACAGTACATAGGGAAACTTTATTATTAAAATAAAATTAGCCTTCAATATTTAACTATCATATGAAAAACTGATGACCTAAATACAAAATGATCTATTGAGGCTGCTTTTTCCTAAATTATAAAAATGTAATTTTAATAGTTGTGAGGTCCTTAGTTTATACAATACAGGAACTTTTTACCAAAAAAAAAAAAAAAAAAGGAATCTAACAATGTTAAAATAATTATTTCAAGGTTTCAGATGAATTAATTTTTTTACATTTATTTCATTAAACAGTGTTCATGTTGTAGGACACAGAAATAATATATAATTCTTGAACTTAATTTCAAAAACTATTCAGAAACAAAGACAATTGCACAAATAAAGCTAACAAAGGATAGAATCTAAGTGCCATAAGTCTGGACATAAAGGAAAGAGCAACTGATTCTAAGCCATGAGTACAAAAATTTCAAGGAGGAGTTGATTTCAACTTAAATCTTGAAAAATATTCAACACTGTTTGTAAAGCACTGTTGCGGAGGAAGACATTTCTCTCTACCCTTCTGTGTTCTTATGGCTGGTCTAAGAATTAAATTGACATGAGACACATTAACAGGAGAAAATCAAAGGTTTTATAACATGTGTACATGGGAGAGACCCAGGAAAACACAGTAACTCAATGAAATGGCCAAAACCCTCCTCGCCTTAAATACCATTTTCAGCTAAAGAGAAAAGAGGATGTTGGTGCTAGTGGTTTAGGAGGAAGGCAATTAACAAGGAGATGGAAAAGCAAATTCGTGGTAAACAAATGTTTGCTGAACCATGCAGAGATAACAGGACACAGAGAGAAATTTTAACAGACAATTTGCTAGATTCTTCCCTGACAACACACACCTAGTTTATACTACAGTTATCTATGGTGATAGTTCCCTTCCTGGAATAGGTCCTCTATCTTCATTCTCTTAGGCAGTCAGGTGGAAGGTCAAAGTTTCTTCCTGAGTCTTTTGGGCCCTGATTATTTTTGACTCAAAATAATCCATATGCCAAAGAGACTTTTGGAGTGGCAAATTTTGTTCCTTTATAGTACATTTTACCATTTATAAAAATTTTTAATAAACACAATCTCTTCTGATAATCTCAAAAACAGGTGAGGTAAGCAGAATTGATAATTATCTTCCCAGAAGAGGAAATGGAAGCTCTGAAAACTTAACACACAGACGTAAACATTTCCTGGTTAAACTGGGATTCAAGTTCAGGATTTTGTGCCTATCCCACTATTCCACAAGCCATATGGGGAAGAAGACTTTCCCAGATATATGTGGAAAATGAACAAAGAACTAGGGTCAAGAAAGAAAGAGTCAAGCAAGAAACTTTTATAGGTCTTAACAGGGCTTACTCTTGACCTGGAGTAGATGTATATGAGTTTGCACCAGACTACTTGTAGACCTCTGTATATTTCTGGGAAACAAATTCTATTGATCCCTCTCAATGCAAATACTTTATTGGAGAGCTGGATAATGTGACAAAAAAATACAACAATTGAAAAACTATATGGACTCATACTTACCTTAAAACAAATTCTTCAAAGGAGAAAACATTATTGATACATTGACAACCAATGATTTAAAATAATATTCGAGAAATACACAAAAAACTTATGCATACTCTTAACACTTTCCAGTTTACTGGACTTGACTCATGATGGTGAAGATCTAAGTTGTTTCCTAATGTGAGTTTCAGTCCTCTCTGATCCTTCTGCACCCTTAGTCTTCTTGTGAGTTCAACCCCCTTCATTTAATTCAACAGTCATTTACCGATTGGTTATGCTGCCCTGGGACATGGATATTTCCCAACACAATATGAAGAATCTCAGCTAATTTTAATCAGTTTTTTCCATAGTATGATATACTCCCTACTGTTGGACTTATGTCTTTGTAGGGCTTACTCTTGACCTGAGATAGAGGTATATGAGTTTCTACCAGAATATTGTAGACCTCTGTATATTTCTGTGAAACAAATTCTGTTGTTCTTTCTCAATGCAAATACTTTATTGGAGAGCTGGATAATGTGACAGAAAATACAGTGTTCAGGAATACATGAACATTTTTACTTTTTCCAAATCACTCTATCACAAAATTATAGTCTCCATTTACTAAAAAATACTACAAGCAGAAAAAGAATACCACCTTTTTCTCTTTGGTTTCTCTCAGTGGTTTTTAATCACTGCCCCAAACAGTATAGTTTTCATAAATATACTTTAAAATATTTTAGCATGTTAGATTCCAGGGTGGAGTGAATAGAAGAGACTGTATTTTTAAAAATTATTTTATGAAAATAAACAATTATACCTTTAAAAAATGATTTTGACAGTGGTGATACAAAAATATTAGTAAGAAGCAGTGCAATCTAGGGGAAATTGAATTTTGAGCCTGGTCTGGATCTCACTTCTAGCTCTGATTGCTTTACCTGGTAAAATATTTAACCTATTTTACCTTTAGTTTCCTCATCTGTGAAATGGGAATAGTAACAGCTATTTTACAGGTTACAAGCATTAAATATGATCATATACCACAATTCTCAGTAGACGGTAAGTTCTAGACGGTTCATCATCATCATCATCATCATTATCATTATTGTCTCTATTACTGTTAATCATAACAGCTAGTTAATAATATTACTTGAGCTAAAATATAATTACTTGCACTAAATATTGCTGAATTATCTATTAAATCAACTTTACACTTTTTTTTTTTTTTGCGGTACGCGGGCCTCTCACTGTCGTGGCCTCTCCCGTTGCGGAGCACAGGCTCCGGGCGCGCAGGCTCAGCGGCCATGGCTCACGGGCCCAGCCACTTCGCGGCATGTGGGATCCTCCCAGACCGGGGCACGAACCCGCGTCCCCTGCATCGGCAGGCGGACTCCCAACCACTGCACCACGAGGGAAGCCCCTCAACTTTATACTTTTGATTAAAATATAACATAATGAAGAAATGTAACAAACATCTTAAATTTGAGATTTCAGTTTTGGAAATTGGCATTTTTTTAAGATTGGGTACAACTCATGAAAATTTTAGATACCAGTGGAAGAGTACCTTTTTAAGGTCTGTTATGTTTAAAAGACTTTAAAGTCTGTTAACTGCCTAATGTGAATCTATGTTTAAACATAAGAACTGGTCAAAATTATTTGCATTTAAGTTTAAAATGGAGGACAAGAGAGATACTACTTCTAAAGAATTTGATAAGGGAAAGTCCATAGCACATATTAAAGTGTTATTCAAGGTATACTCTCAAAAAATTGTCAAACTGATTTCACCTCTCCAAAAACAGAAAGGAAAATTTCAATATATATTTGAAAATGAAAGTCTGAGGAAGTGTTAAAGGCATTTGGTTTGTGTGGTATTAGATCATCTCAAGTCCAGTACTGAGCATTTAATTTACCAAAAAGATGGCTCCTTTCAAAACTGAAATAAAACACCTGACTTTTTAAAGTTTGTGTATTACTTTGTTAGAGCTGCCGTAACAAAGTACACAGACTGGGTGGCTTCAACCCTAATAACCTCATTTTAACTTAATTAAAATTTTAAAGACCTCCATCTTCAAATATAGTCACATTCTGAGATACAGGGGATTAGGACTTTGACGTAAGAATTTGGGTGGGGGACACAACTTATCCCTTAACAGAGTGAAATGTTAAGACATTATTTTAAAAAGGATCTACTTATATGTTTCATTTCTACTATGTATTATACAAATATTGTTTTCATGTTTTTACTGTCTTTTAAACCCATTTTGAATGAATTTCATATATATCCTTCTAAAATAAGGGAACTCAACTAAAGGGGTTAAATCATGACTCATACAATTGCATTAGGTTAATATTTAAAAAAACAGTGACAAATTAGTACACTAATTTGACACATGGTCCAATGAAAACAATTTCTGTTGGCTTTTAAGACTTAAAATGGCTTTCTGGATCTACTATGGTAGTAGTCAATGAAGGGGAGCAGAATTTTGCCACCCCAAAATGTCTCTTTGACATATATCTTATCTTGAGCTGGTTGTTTTTAAGAAATGGCAGACACAAGGAGAGGCTCTGAAAACTGAGTAGTAACTGACTGCCCAGCCCTGACATCTTTTCTTGTCTTTAGCTGAGGAAGGTGTATAAGGTGACGGCTTGGACCATTTCAGGGTGTTACTTCAGTTTTCCTGGGCATCTCCTATGTATACAGGAGGTATGCCTGTTGTTAAACTTCTGTTTGTTTTTTCCTGTTAATCTGTCTTTTTATTACCGGGGATATCTCATCTGAGAACCTAAAAGAATAGAGGAAAAATTCCTTTCCTCCTCCACATCATTTATGGCAGTTGGAATGAAATAATAAACTTCTCTAGGTTTCTACCCTAACGTAGTAAGTAGTAGTGTAGTACAATATACCCACAGAAATAAAAATTATACAAAACCTGGCAAAAAAGAATAGTGTTCTGAAACAAAAAAGATAAATTGTTATAAACTGTATCACGTTCTAGCTGGCAGTACATACATTATTTCAATTACTTATTTTATCTTAAGATAATGAACATGAGCATTTCTTGTTCTTTATGTTATAATATGAAACTGATATGTGTCATTCAGTAATAATGAGATGACGGCCTGTGTTACCTGAGCATATGGCAAGTGCTAGGAGTATAAGGAATCATATCATCTGCTGTATATCACTAGATTTCCTACGAATCAATTCAGACATACAAAATGTAAGTAGCTACATTAATATTTTTGTCTATATATCTGTAAACTTCCAGCTTTTTCTAAGAATATTTCCTTTATAACAATAACAAAAAGTATTAAAATAAAACCAAGCACACTTAACTGAAACTGATGACAATGTTATTTATATACAAAAATGTAAATTAAGTACAAAGTTGTAAAGATAAATGTTAAGATTTTTAAACAACATTTTACTATTAAAGATAGCCATGTTGTAAAGTGAGTATAGGGTTTATACAGAGTGGTTCTATTAAAACAGGGAGAGCTATACCAAATCATATGGGCATAAATTTTTATCTAAAATGAGATGAGACATGTATAATTTTCAAGTTTAAAATTAAAATTATAAACATATTACCATTTTACTGCATAAAGCTAAAACTATGCTTCTTTTTTAGTTCAAATATTGTACATCTGTATGCGTTTTGAAATGTAACAGAGAAAGTAAAATAGTTAAGTTATACCTAATAAACACATAGAGGGTAAATTTTTATACTTTCTATTGTTATCATTCTTTTTATCTTTGAAAATATTTTAAACCTATGTCAACACAAGCGTGAGTGTTTCCACATTTACTTCACTAACATTGATTTTTTTAACCCCATTTTTGTAAACCAATGATTTTGAATTTAAATTAAGGATTCACACAAGGTTTAAGTTCATGAGGCCTCGTTTTAAAATATAATCCTTTATGTTAAAATTCAGATTTAACTTGCTCAGTTCAATATCGTAAAGATTAGACTACCTTCTGCAATGTCTGCTCCGACATTTCTTTCCAATTCTTCTCTGGAGTACTCTTCTTGACCCCATCATCTTCACCGTATCTAAAGAGTTCTTCTGGCAGAGAATAAATAATATATTATGGTACCTCATATGCTCCTGAAACACTGTTCTGTCATTTTAAGAAAAAGGGGTGTATGGTTTCTCAACTATGAATAACGTAGTCTATTTTATTGTCAAGTATTTGGCCAGTAACTGAATGGTGACCTTTTTCAAGATTTTCAGTCTCACAATTATGTATCTTTATAGTGTCCCTTTCTTTTTCGCAGCGTAAGATTTTCAAAGGTATAACAGATCTGCAGGTTAACAATGCTGTATTTTTATTCCCATCTTCATTCTTTTGTAGACCATTCCCCTTTGCCTTAAAAGCAGAATTCACTGCCTTTTTATCTACACAGTCACTACTAGTTTTGTTCTCTGGATCTCGTTCCCTGCCAGGAGGATCAGAGTGATTGCTGAACAAAGCAAACAGTAACAGAATTAGGGTAGACTGAAACTGTAACACCCCCTACCACCACCTTTCTTTAAAGTAAAAGATCATGCACTGGGCAGAGTAAAGCATAAAAATCACATTTCCAGAAAAAGTGACTTTATAACAAATAGAAACCCAGGTAATGGGTAAAGTTGTTCCTACAAATCATTCCTACACTACCCAGGCATTTGACTAATAAAACCCCTTCGAACAAGCAAAACTGTATAAGCAACATAACAACATTAAAGGAAAAAAAATCATAAAACTTCAGTTAATACTATTAGAATTGAAATACATTAAAACCTATAAATATTTTTTTCTTAGAAGATAAATTATGGTGACAAATTTAACATTTTCTTACTGAATTATTTTTGAAATACACATTTCTCAAAGAATCAAAAAGGGGGCAAAAAGAATGCATAAAGCTAAAAGGATACATATCTGTGTTAGTCTGAGATGATTTTGCTTTAAAGTATGCTTGGCTGCTGTAGGTCAGTATGAAACTTTGATTTATCAACAAAGAAAAAAGAAAACAATATTACTCTCTGTAGAGTAGAAATCCTCTTGGTATAAACAGTGACTAACAAGTTTGTTAGAGTGAATTAGGCATTTCTTTTGTCTTTGAAACATGACATATCCAATTAAAACTTCTGTACTCCTGAAATAAATAGAACACTATCCTAAGGATAATAAAAGCTAGAATAGGTAGAATTTGCCACCCGGGGAATATGTACCTTTATCTTGATGATAATCTGTTGGTTCCCGAGTTTCTTTTTCTAGTCCCTTAACACCATGGTGCTGAATTCATTTACAAAACTCTTTCAGCAATATAGAAATAATATGCAAATACAATTCATCTGTTCTAGTCATTTAAATATCTGCTATAGTTCTAAGTAAAATATTTACACTTAAAAATAAGAAAATAGTTCTATATTCAAAGACTGTAGAGTGCTAAAAGTAGCTAAATAACTCCAACAATATAAATGTTGAAGACTGATTTAAAAATGAATTTGATTGCTGCTTTTGTGCTCCTAGGTGTGTGCAAGATTCCCTGGTGGACTGGAAGACCATGTTCACTTGTGGTTTTCTGTTGAAAACTTTGTTTCTCACCTTCACAGGTTTTACAAAGAATACATGGCAGCTAGGCCCAGGCCATGGAGAGGAACAAAGACCCAACTCTCTGCCCCTTGATTCCCTTCCCCTTCAAGGATCTCAGGATTTGGGAAGTGAACCAAGAGGACCTAGTTAGAAATATACAGTTCTATTTTTGTCCTTTGGTGGATGTGTGAGAATATGCTTATCCTTACTGGAAATTTATTTTAAAAATTGTGGATTTAAATGCTTTACTTTTATTTTTACCACTATACAAATTCGTTCTGATTTATATTCTTTCTCAGGAGTTTCTTCTCTCCCCACTTTTTAACTTTTAACTTTGCTTACTCATAGTTGTTTAAACATTTTTCTCTATCGCCTATGTTTTTTTGGTCCCCTTAATTCTCCTGGATTACATTATAAATTAATGTAAGTTCTTCTGCAACTTTTTCTCCTTCTTTTAGATTCTCTTTTAGCTATTTTAACAAATTAATATTAAAAATCTGTTATCATTATAAGGGATTGCAGAATATGCCAGCCTAATATATGCCACTTTGGTATATTGATTATTTTCAGCAGTAGGAACTTCAAAAGCTGCAAATGCAGGTAGAGGCTTTCTCTGAACTCCCCTTATCTGCCAGAAGACCCTCCAGAAGGAACTTGAGTGTTATTACCCACTCCCCTAAAGTTTCATCAACCAGAGAAGATTAACTCTTATCACAGGAGAGGAAACTAGAAGTCCACACTATACCCAGACAAGCTTTACTACAAACTATCATTCCTCTCAGCTAGTCTTCTATGGGCCCATTCATCTTTTCTAAAATCATTTACTCTCCCCTAAGAGGCCTACATCCCTCCTCCTCTCTCCCTATTAAGACAGTATGTAATCCTGAATTCTAAAGCCACCTCTTTGAGTACTCACTCTTCCCTGGGTTTCTTCCATGTGTATACCATGAGGTATAAACATTAATAAATTTCTGGTTTCCTCTTGCTAATCTTTTATTATAGGGGTTTCAGCTAAGAAGGGTAGAAGGAAAATTCTTATTCCTCCCCTACAATTATATTTTTACTCATCTTAATATGATGCTTCCTACACTATCTTAAAGGTCTGTTTGTGATTGTATCAACTTGGGATATAAAGAAAGGAGAATAGGTATCTTGTGTATTGGCAATTTCCTAAAAAATACTGAAACCGAGCAGGACCCTGTGGAGGCTCCTGGGTATGAAAGCCTTTCTGTGTCCCCCCGTTCCTTGTTTGTAGAGAACAGACTCCAGCCTCCATGACCTTCCCTGAGTCCCAAAGGGAAGATTCAAACAGTTGCTAATCAGGGAAGGGAGGGGCTACAGAGACAAGGCAGGAGCAGCCAAGAAACAATAGTGCAGCCTTGGGGCAGGTCCTGGTTTCACCTCAAGGGATACACACAACAGTACCTTTGAGCTCTTTACAGAACAAAAATCCCCAACAAACGGAAGATGTTAGCATTCTTCCTTCCAGAGAAGACCATCTGAGGCCAGATTAAAGGAACCATAGAAGCTCATCAAGAGATGGCCTGAGACCAGATTAAAAGAGTGCAGGCCCTGCACACACCCTAATCTTATCGGCAAACTCACCCCTGAACTATTGCTGTAAAACTCCTCACCAAATCCTCCCAGGTTGGGACACACAGTTTTCAAAGGCAGGAGCCCACTGTGTCCCCCTTTGCCTGGCAAAGCAATAGAGCTATTCTTTCCTACTTCACCCAAAACTCTGTCTCTGAGATTCAATTGGGCACCAGGGCACAGAGGCCGAGTTTTTGGCATCAATATTACTATTTTTTCTTCACTTTTAGGAAAAGTGAATATATTACTTTAGAGGGTACTTGCCATAACATACAGTAAGAAATATATATTTGGTCTTTTTCCCTGGCTCCCCACACAAAGCTTCTAAAGTCCTTGGAATTTCATAAGTGATAGAGGTGAGAGGATTATCTTCTGTTATTCATAACAAGCCTCTTTGCACAAGGTTCCCCATAAATCTATTTTCCTTTATATTTCACTTCTACTTAACACAAGCTGGATATAAAAATGTTGTTGGAGACACCAACAAAAGTTGCAAGGTGCAAAATTAATACACAGAAATCTCTTGCATTTCTATACACTAATAATGAAAGATCAGAGAGGAGAATTAAGGAAACAATCCCTTTTACCATCACATCAAAAAGAATAAAGTACCTAGGTATAAAATTACCTAAGAAGGCAAAAGACTTGTACTCAGAAAACTATAAAACACTGATGAAATAAATCAAAGATGACACAAACAGATGTAAAGATATACCATGTTCTTGGATTGGAAGAATCAACATCATCAAAATGACTATACTACCCAAGGCAATCTATAGATTCAATGCCATCCCTATCAAATTATCAATGACACTTTTCACAGAACTAGAACAAAATATTGTAAATTTGTATGGAAACACAAAAGACCCCAGATAGCCAAAGCCATCCTGAGAAAGAAAAAGAGAGCTAGAGGAATCAAGCTCCCTGACCTCAGACTATACTACAAAGCTACAGCCATCTAAACAGTATGGTACTGGCACAAAAACAGAAACATAGATCAATGGAACCAGATAGAAAGCCCAGAAATAAACCCATGCACCTATGGTCAAGTAACCTACAACAAAGGAGGCAAGAATATACAATGGAGAAAAAACAGTCTCTTCACTAAGTGGTGCTGGGAAAACTGTAAAGCTACATGTAAAAGAATGAAATTAGGACATTCTCTAACATCATAATACACAAAAATAAACTCAAAATGGATAAAAGACTTAAATTTAAGACTGAATACTTAAAACTCTTTGAGGAAAACATAGGCAGAACACACCGTTACATAAATCACAGCAATATCTTTTCAGATCTACCTCCTAGAGTAATGAAAATAAAACCAGAAATAAACAAATGGGACAAAATTAAACCTAAAAGCTTTTTCACAGCAAAGGAAACCATAAACAAAATGAAAAGACAACCCACAGAATGGGAGAAAATATTTGCAAATGAAGCGACCAACAAGGGATTAATCTCTAAAATATAAAAACAGATCATGCAACTCAATATCAAAAAAAACAACCCAATCCAAAAATGGGCAGAAGACCTAAATAGACACTTCTCCAAAGAAAACATACACATGGCCAAAAAAGCACATGAAAAGATGCTCAACATCACTAATTATTAGAGAAATGCAAATCAAAACTACAATGAGGTATCACCTCACACTGGTCAGAATGGCCATCATCAAAAAGTCTACAAACAATAAATGCTGGAGAGGGTGTGGAGAAAAGGGAACCCTCCTACACTGTTGGTGGAAATGCAAATTGGTACAACCACTATGGAGAACAGTATGGAGTTTCCTTAAAAAACCAAAAGTAGAACTGCTATATGATCCAGCAATCCCACTCCTGAGCATATATCCAGAGAAAACCATAATTCGAAAAGATACATGCACCCCAATGTTCAC